CCCAGCTCTGTGCGCCAGTTTCTGGTCAGAATCGGCGAGGAGGACGAGCGGTTAAGCACAGCAGAATTGTAGCAGTGAGTTGCGAGTTCGAGACCGCAACAAGCTGTGAATGTTCTGCGATGTTAAGAATCGGCGACAGGCCTAAACGCGCTATTATATTATATATATGAATATTAAATCATCACTGCAATAATTTAATAAAAGGGTACGTTGCTGCTTCTTAAATAATGCAAGAAATCGAAGAAGAACTAATATGTACAATGATTAATGTGAAAGACTAATATGTATGACTTACATGTAAGACTAATATGTTATACGAATATGTCAGACGTATATGTAAGACTAATATGTACAATGTGGAGAACACGCTACATTTCATACAAAACTGTGCATGCTGCATTCCAATACATTCAAAGTTGAATATTAGTTAGCTCCATCTCATAACACACAGCGCAAGATGTTCATGTCTTCTGTTTCACGATTTCTGGCGTTAAATTTAGAAATGTTTTCCCAAGCATCATCATCAACTCGTGACGTTAAAGAGAGTTGAGTACTAAGCAACCTCTTCGACGTAATTCAATACAGAGAACGTCGGCGCACCAATATTCACACCGCTCACATTGTTCAGTTCCTCTATATAATACAGAGAACGTCAGAGCACCTATACTCACACCGCTCACATTCTTCAGTTCCTTTTTATAATACAGAGAACGTCGGCGCACCCATACTCACACCGCTCACATTCTTCAGTTCCTCTATATAATACAGAGAACGTCAGAGCACCTATACTCACACCGCTCACATTCTTCAGTTCCTCTATATAATACAGAGAACGTCGGCGCACCTAAACTCACACCTCTCACATTCTGCAGTTCCTCTATATAATACATAGAACGTCAGCGCACCTATACACACACCGCTCATGTGCTTTAGTCCTTCTATATTAGTGGTGGGCACAGTTCCGCTAATCCGCTAACCACTAATTAGAGAAGCTAACTTTTTTCTTATCAGATTAGCTTTTCAGCTAACTTTCAAAACCATCAGCGGACCAATTAGCTTCCGCTAAATTTAGTTCCGCTAACTGGCAGTCCGCTAAAAATGTTTAAAAATATTTTCTGAAGAATTCAATCAGGTGTTAATATTAATGCTAAGTATCGTTAGCCGCCGAGCGTTACACTGATGGCTGGCTACGTCAACCGATCGCGTCTTGTGCTCCCAAGTGATGTAGAATGTTGCCAAGGCCTTGGATAAGATTTAGGAAGAGGATCAAGCCTATCTCATGAGCCTTCTTCCATCTGCAGCAGCTACCATCATGAAATTGACGGAGGCTAAGTCCAAAGGCTTCTTGTCCTACAGTCCTCTGGTAGACGCCTTGCAGGCAGGCATCACGAAAAGGTTTGGGCCCCTCCTAGAAGACAAGGAGTGCCAGCTGGCAGCTGCCTTCCACCCTAAATTTCGCCTGTTCTGGCCGGAGAAGCATAATCACAGCATCTCAGCAGGGTAAAGAAGGCCATGGAGACAGCCCTGTGGGAGACCGTTGAGGAGGGCAGCAGCACCACCAGCAATGACGAGAATGGGGAAAATGATCTGCAGCAGCATCATTCAGCCCCAGGAGTGTAGGAGGAGCCACAGGTCACTGAAGTCCATGACACAGAACTTGGTGAAGACCTGGCTGGAGGCCAGCTCGAAGGAGGTCCTGACTGACGTTGTTTTCTTGGGTGAGCAGGTGTTGATGGACCTCTTCGTTAAGTACAACACGGCCATCCCATCAAGTGCTGCAGTTGAGCGCCAAGGGCATCCATAGAGCCAAGGCAAGGACATCTTAAGGGCCAAGAGAGCCACCCTGTCAGATTCCAAATTTGAGAGGCTGATGTTCATCAAGAGCAATAATCATCACCTCGAGGAGATGAAGAGCAGGCCAGAGTAAAAGTAGTGTGTAACCCTGCTTTTAAAAATGTGTTTTTATTTCTTGATATTTCTTATTTGATTAATAAACTGTATGTTTAATGTCAACTACTGCTTAATTCATTTAATTATTTATGTACATCTCGATCATCATCTGATCTTGGCATGCTACACATTTTTGGGAAGCTCCTTGTCAATGCTACAACATATTAAAAGTTCAGCTCTCCACGTCTGTTTCTCAGAGTTTTACACAGCACCCCAAAAAATTAAGCCAAAGCTAAATTGATAAACTGAAAGTTGGCGGTTAGCGGTAAATTCAGCTAAATTTTTCGGCTTTTTATCGGTTCAGCGTTATACATAAAAGCTAACTTTTCAGTTAGCGAATTAACGGTTATCAATGCTAACTTTTCGGTTAGCTGTGCCTACCACTGCTCTATATAATACAAATAACGTCGGCGCACCTATACTCACACCGCTCGCGTGCTCCAGTTCCTCTATATAATACAGAGAACGTCGGCTCACCTATACTCACACTACCCACGCGCTTCGGTCCCTCTATATAACACAGAGAACGACGGCGCACCTATACTCACACCACCCACGCGCTTGAGTTCCTCAATATAATACAGAGAATGACGGCGCACCTATACTCACATCACCCACGCGCTTCAGTTCCTCTATATAATACAGAGAACGTCGGCGCACCTATACTCCTGTCTCTTATACACATCTAGATGTGTATAAGAGACAGGACTCACACCGCTCACGCGCTTCAATCCCTCTATATAATACAGGGAACGTCGGCTCACCTATACTCACACCTGTCTCTTATACACATCTAGATGTGTATAAGAGACAGCCTATACTCACACCGCTCACGCGCTTCAGTCCCTCTATATAATACAGAGAACGTCGGCGCACCTATACTCACACCACCCACGCGCTTCAGTTCCTCTACAATACAAAGCACGTCGGCGCACCCGTGCTCCATCATCATGCACTCAGCCAACGTACCTGCAGGACGTAATTACCAGCTCCATGTACAGAATATCCTAGACGAATTCAACCTATTTTTAGGACGCGTGCTTTTAATACATCACCTCCTCGTTGAACCTTCTCAAGGATCGACAATTAAAGAAGACAAAATTAGAAAAAGATAAATCTGTCATATACATTTAATTGTTGCATTTGAACCGTGCAAATACAAAATTTTTCACTATTATCGTTGATTTTTTTTTCCTCGCAGACTTTGAAAAAAGACTCCAGTGCTTTTCAACTGCAAAAAGACATTTATTTAAATCCTAAAATTTGCGAATAAGATGTTAAAAATGGTTTTGCCTGCATAGTCAGCCTCAACATGCATTAACTCATGTTTTCTAATATTATTAGGGTGGCCCTGTGGTTTGGCCATTCTCATTCGTACTCGTGTCACCCTCAGACATGCGTCGTGCTCATTCGTATCCGTGTCACCCTCAGACCAACGTCATACTCATTCGTATCCGTGTCACCCTCAGACCCACGTCACACTCATTCGTATCCATGTCACCCTCAGACCCACGTCATACTCATTCGTATCCATGTCACCCTCAGACATGCGTCATACTCATTCGTATCCGTGTCACCCTCAGACCCACGTCATACTCATTCGTATCCATGTCACCCTCAGACCCACGTCATACTCATTCGTATCCGTGTCACCCTCAGACCTGCGTCATACTTCCGTGTCACCCTCAGACCCACGTCATACTCATTCGTATCCATGTCACCCTCAGACCCACGTCATACTCATTCGTATCCGTGTCACCCTCAGACCTGCGTCATACTCATTCGTATCCATGTCACCTCAGACCAACGTCATACTCATTCGTATCCATGTCACCCTCAGACCCGCGTCGTACTCATTTGTATCCGTGTCACCCTCAGACCCACGTCATCCTCATTCGTATCCGTGGCACCCTCAGACCCACGTCATACTCATTCGTATCCATGTCACCCTCAGACCCGCGTCATACTCATTCGTACCCGTGTCACCCTCAGACCCGCGTCATACTCATTCGTATCCATGTCACCCTCAGACCCGCGTCATACTCATTCGTATCCGTGTCACCCTCAGACCTGCGTCATACTCATTCGTATCCATGTCACCCTCAGACCCGCGTCATACTCATTCGTATCCATGTCACCCTCAGACCCGCGTCATACTCATTCGTATCCGTGTCATCCTTAGACCTGCGTTATATTCATTCGTATTCGTGTCTTCCCCAGACTCGGGTCATCTACACTCGTTCGTAGTCAGGTGGGAGACGGACTGTCGTTGCCTGCCCCAGCGCCGCCAAAGTGTAACAAATAAAGTCTGGTGAATCCTGCATGGAATAAAAATCAATGGGCGGTGAATTTCCTTAGTGCCGTCGTAGTCACACTGGGATGGTATATATTCAATTATTCAATAGAGCTGACAGCAGAAGTTGCGTCTATTTATTGGATAGTAGATAATTTAGTTGGAAACCACTCATATTTACTTCTTTTCGAAAGCTCGGATCCCACCGGTTGGTGGAGATTAAAACTCTATGATATTGACCGACCTATAGAAGGTTACCATCTTTAAAAAGTGGAGGCAAGAATGAAATCTTTTTTCAGAATCTTCTTTACATTAAATTGTTCGGCCTTGGATAATTGAATTTTTTCGGAAAATAAGCAATGCTTGAGATATACCGTCTGAGTTTTGATGGTTGATAGTCTGAAAAGTGCAATTTTTGAAACAAAGTTTTTCCAGCTAATTCGATAGCAAAAATTTTGCTGTGAACGTTAAGCAAAATGGTTAAGAATTAGTTATACGAAGCGCGACGAGGAAAAATACACCACAACCTCCGTTTTAATTAAACTCTAACGGTTTTGGTGACTCTAGTCCTGAACACTTAATGGGATATAAATTAGCATTAAACATTAAAGATTCCGGTTGCGAAAAAACGACTTCAGTTGTTCTGCTATGGGAAGGAGGAGCTATCGACGAAACCGTTGGCTTCCAGGAGGAGCTTCCTCAGGTTGGCAGCTGCCAGGTGCCCACTGTCTCGAGCAGCAGCCTGCAGGTAGCGAGAGCAAGTGCAGTGCTGCGCTAATATTTGAACGAAATTTCCCCCCGCTATAACAATTGTTATCAAAAGACGGAAGAGTGCGAGCTTTGTCAACTTTTGTAAGAATTTGCCAATTAATATCAGAATTCATTTATAGATTTTAGTACAGCAAAGATTTTATTAGTACTTGACAGATCTAGTTTATAGATCAATAATAACGTTAGGGGCCCCAATCTTTACGAAGACTTACGAGTTAAAAAAGTTCGGACGACCATTTATTACAGTGCAAGAGAGTGCAAGACCACGACCATATTTCTAACCAAGTGAAATAATTTCAAAACTTACTTTCAGTATTAACGAGTATATGTCCATGATATGCTTTACAGTTATTAACAAGTTTGGTGTTATCTTGGCGCTGTCCTATATTCGAGATTAAGCGATAAGTTTTATGTCATGAAGATCCATTTCTTCAAGAGTCTTACACTCGTCGTGCTGTTGGTAATCTTGCACCTCGTGTCATCTGACATCACTAAAAATGATGCGACAACCGCAAGAAAAGTGCTTCGGTCACAATATAACTTGAAGGAAAGGTTCAAGCGCATTATTATGGCGCTTGACGGCATGCAAGACGTTCACTCGCGGCAGAAGAGATTAATTCATTTCACTTTCAGGTTCCCTGCTGGCACTGAATTGGAGGTAAAAAAATTTAAATCACAACATTAATTGAGAATTTAAAATCAAATAAAATGTCCATTAAATTTACCATATCTTCCCTGATAACTTAGTAGATAAAAGCTAAAGCGATTTCATTGAAAACGCACTGATTAAACGTTTTCAATTAAAATACGGAGAAATAAGTAATGTTTTCTTAGATTTTGAATCTTTGATGAATTTGCGATTTAAGCAGATAAGTAATTACATTGAATACAACGCCCTTAAAATAGCTGCAGCTATGGGTAAAGTTATTAAATTCACTATAAAATAGAGTCCACTACATGACCCATTTCAATTAGTCATTATAAAATTCATGCGCATACACCATAATTTTGACTGGGAACTAAAGAGTATCGGCAGCTTACATATACCGTGTGGGTCCGTACATAAATAATAGGTTAAACTTTGAATTCAAATAAAGCATTCATGATGCATTTCATTATTTCGAATTACGTGAGAACTGAACAGGCAAGTACGCGCAAGGAAACGGGTGAAAGCCAAATTAAAATAACTGTTGTAGTTGGTTAATTTTATGTACAATCTAAATGTATTTATACTGGTAATTTTTGGAGCGACTGCAGAGGCCGACATTGTAATTAATATTACACTTTTGCATTAGAAGTAAAATGCGCGCTGATTGAGGAGAACATTCTAAATAATGTAGAGCTTTTCCATGCCAGGTAAAATGGGCGGTGGTTGAGGAGAACATTCTTAATAATGTAGAGCTTTTCCATGCCAGATAAAATGGGCGGTAGTTGCGGAAAACATTCTTAATAATGTAAAGCTTTTCCAAACCAGATAAAATGGGCGGTGGTTGAGGAGAACATTCTTAATAATGTAGAGCTTTTCCATGCCAGATAAAATGGGCGGTAGTTGCGGAAAACATTCTTAATAATGTAAAGCTTTTCCAAACCAGATAAANACTGTCTCTTATACACATCTAGATGTGTATAAGAGACAGGGTAAAATGGGCGCTGGTTGAAGAGAACATTCTTAATAATGTAGAGCTTTTCCATGCCAGGTAAAATGGGCGGTGGTTGAAGAAAACATTCTTAATTATGTATAGCTTTTCCATGCCAGGTAAAATGGGCGCTGGTTGTGCTGATTCCTGTGGAAGAGCAGCTCGAAGAAACAAGATATGAAATCGAACTTGCCTCGTACATCGAACTGCCGGCATATCTGGCGGACGCTGACTATCAGCCTCCCTTCAACACGCTTTTTGGCACTAAAAACCAACTCCCTGTAGATGACGCAGCTGAAGCGAAAACCGAAACCAAAGCTCACGAACATCGAGTCAATTCAAAAGATGTGACTAAAGGAAATAGTTCTCATCACACGAGCAAAACCAGGCATGTAGCTTCTTCAGGAATGAATAAGAAGACCCTGACTAAAAATCGTAAGAATAAAAAGCATCGGACTTCTAATATAAAAAATATCAATGGATTTTTCCTGAAAAAGAATAAAACTCTTTTGCGTGGCGCAGAAAAAAGCGGAGTGGGGCCCGGAACAGATGAAATTAAACGAAATCGTAAAGAGCGAAACGTTGAATCCTCGAATTTGGAATATGCTGAAGATGAGGATGATGATTTTCGTCATAAGAAACTAAACAAAGAAAATGAACGCACTAAGTACCGAGAAGATAACCTGAGTCACCTCCACTTATCACAAAGAAGGGACACTTACGAAGCTATTGGCAAGATCCTAACAAGGTTTGTGTGCGATTGTTATAGAGACAAACTTATTAATTCAATTGGTTGAAATATTATTCATTACTAAACGCAACTGGCACCCCCAGCATAGACAAAGATTTAAAGATTTAAATTTTTAAATTTAAGATTTAAAAACGGATTTAAAGAACACTTTTAATATATGCTAGATAATACGGTGCAAGTATTACTCCCATGAGGTGTTGCCGATATAAATATACATTCCCTGGCCCAAGTTATCTCCAAGCATTTGCATAGCAGACAAATATATGAAAATAGATATTCTGGACAGTAAATTTCTCGAGGATTGCAAATCTGATGTGCCATTTGAATTTCCATGAAAAGTGAATACATTTCTATATCATTACGTCATATTCGTTCGAATGGACCATCCCAATCAATGTAAAATAAATTTATTTAATCAATTTTCTGAAGTAATTTTGTCATCTTGATGAAAGACATAAAACAGCCTGCGTGAGATTGTTTTCATAAACAATGTACCAATATAATTTTCACCTTATATCACTATGTACACAAAAAACAGCTATTTTATGCGATTAAAAAAACACAATGTCAGTTCATTTTTTTTGCGTAAGTGAAATGTTCACATAGAATGTAAAACGCTAATTAAATTCGCAATTTCGTCATTGAAAACGTTTCGGCTATTCTATTAAATTTTGTACTCGTGTATATTTATATTTTCTTTATTTTACTTATTTTACGTTTATTCACAAAATTTTGAAATGACAATGGATCCGATTTCCGAATAATTTTCAGCCGAGATAAATTGAATTTCCTCGGAGTTTTTATTTTATTATATTTGCTTTTCCATTCTTGGTCAGATTTTTTATGAGACAACTTTGAAAATTACCATGGGTAATGAAAAATGTTGACATTGTTGTCCTAGAACGTATATTTTTGTTGTACCGGCGTATCGCGTATGGATGATAGCTGTACATAGATTGATAGCTGTACATAGATGATAGATTTAAACACGAGTGGTTAATGACCAGAGAAATCATCTATTTAAATTTTCAGGATCGAACAATATTCTTCAGCTGACGTTGGTTGATAAAAATTCAGGTTCAAGGAAGTAAATTAATTTATTAACGACGTTTCGAATGTGACATCATTCATTTTCAAGTTATAGGAAGCATTGAATACTGAAATTTTGGCGNGATGATAGCTGTACATAGATGATGGCTGTACATAGATGATAGCTGTACATAGATGATAGCTGTACATAGATAATAGCTGTACATAGATGATGGCTGTACATAGATAATAGCTGTACATAGATAATAGCTGTACATAGATGATAGCTGTACATAGATGATGGCTATATCATTACATTGATGATGGCTCTCCATAGATGCTGGCTGCATCATCACATAGAGATATGTCGTACCAGCACATGTATGATGGTTGTATCATCACATAGTTGATGGCTGTACATAGATGATAGCTATACATGGATGATGGCTATATGTATCATCACCCTGATGATGGTCGGTGTGTTGCAGTCACGGGCTGGCAGGGCGACAGTGTGTGCTGCGGACGGTGTGTGAGGTGGCCGAGGCTCCGCTGCACTTTGGCTTCATTGGTGATATCCTTAATATTTTGTTCACGTAAGTTTATCTGCATCATAAACATTAGTTTATATAGCTAAGTCCTTTAATTAAATCCGTGGAAAATAGCAGAAAATATTTAGAAGCTGGTGCTATTAACTTACGGTGATATTGCACAGTTTTGTATCATTCAAAACCGTCGTATTTCTTGTATTATTTTCAACGACGTACTATTATTTATTTTATTTCCTCTATTGTATCTTTTTTTCATTTCTTGTATTATTTGTTATCATTCAAGTACGTCGTATTTCTTGTATTGTTTCAACGACGTAATATTATTTTTTTTATTTCTTATATGATATCCTTTTTATTTCTTGTATTATCTTTTATCATTCAAGCACGTCGTATTTCTCGTATTATTAATTTTTTGGTATACTTGTCACTCGCAAGTGAGAAAAGCAAAATTGTCAGAAAAATTTACGAATACTTTTGAAACAGTGGAGTCTTTACGGAGTCTATTTTAAATATGCTTTTTCAAAAGAATTAGTATATAACTCATTGCTCTCCGGAGTTAGTTTGAAATATTCAACTACCTTCCAAATTAAAAAATTACTCCTGCCTCAAATTTCCTTTTTTTAAATAAAAACTACGTTCGACTAAAATTAAAAACTACGTTTTAATAAAAACATTGCTTACTTTAGTATTGCGTAAAAAATTATAATGTTTCTATTAATCTCCATTCTGGAATCGGAGAATTTGCCTCGACTGAACCACTTCCGCAATACATTGTAGAAAAAAAGTCGTTTCAATGGTAAATTGCGAATAAACATAAATAAACTGGTTAAACATCCCATTTCCGACTTGATTCTCATCATGATTCATCAATTACCATTACGTTATACGCATGTGAGTGGAATGTTTGGAATATTTTCTTTTTTTTTCACGTCGACCATAAAGTGTTTTACAAAGGCAGGCACAAATTTTTACGCTGAATATTATTTCGATTCCAAACTGCATAAACCAATTGATGACGAGTGCAAAAATCTATCACTCCGAATACTCAAAATCACTCAAAATAATCAAAATTGCTCCGATAAACAAAATCACTCCAAATAATCAAAATCACTGCAAATAATCAAATTAATCGTCATAATCAAAATCACTCCAAATAATCAAAATCACTGCAAATAATCAAATTACTCGTCATAATCAAAATCACTCCAAATATTCAAAATCACTGCAAATAATCAAAATCACTCCAAATATTCAAAATCACTGCAAATAATCAAAATCACTCCAAATATTCAAAATCACTGCAAATAATCAAAATCACTCCAAATAATCAAAATCTCTCCAAATAAACAAAATCACTGCAAATAGTGAAAATCTCTCCAAATAATCAAAATCACTGCAATAATCAAAATCACTGCAAGTAATAAAAATCACTGCAAACAATCTAAATCATTCCAAATAATCAAGAAGTCTCACATCTAAGAATAGAAAGTGTCAGCACTGAAGAAATAGGCCCATGGCCTGGTGCCAATTCTTGTAATTTTCGTGACTTGATTCACACGGACACATTAAATTTAATTCAAATTAAAATAATGCAATACAAGTTTCCCAATTTTCGCCCAGGCCCTTCGTGTTTTCGTGACTTGATTCACAAGGACACAATTGATTTAATTCTTAAAATAATGCCATACAAGTTTCCCAATTTTAGACCAGGCCCTCCGTGTTTTCGTGACTTGATTCACAAGGGCACATTTGATTTGATTAAAATTAAAATAATGCGATACAAGTTTCCCAATTTTCCCCCAGGCCCTCCGTTTTTTCGTGACTTAATTCACAAGGGCACATTTGATTTAATTCAAATTAAAATAATGCGATACAATGTCCTTATTTTCGTCCAGGCCCTCCGTAGCTACAGTGGCAGCGTCCAGAGCTGCAGACATAGAAAGCATACGCGAGTATCTGGAGGCTGAAGAACTCGGTCGCACGCTGGGTGGCTGTGATAAGAACTTCGGCGCCTGTCCCTCCTCTATCTTCCAGATGCTACCCGTCATCAGGCAGCAAGTTCTCAATTTCGGCATTTTTGAAAAAAGTTAATAATAACAATAAAAAAATATATTTATACTCATTTGCTGAATATGAGAAGGCTGGATAAGATACAACTATTTATTCCACGTGAGATATAAACGTCCTTTACCTTACTTGTACTAGACATCATTGGTTATTGAACATCATTGTTATTCCCTTGATCATGAAAACGCTGTTCATGACAATTTAATTCACTATAACAATATTACCAATTTCTTTGAAAAACATTGCACGAGTCACCCGTTAGTGTAACTGTCATATAGACTAGCATAACAAATTATCTAGGTAGCATAACAAATTATTTATGGTTATAGTATCCAAATTTGGCATTATGGTAAGTTTGGACTCCTTTATTGTTGTGCGCATCACGCAGTTCGAAATTTGACATCGGTAAATCAAAGGCTGGTGTTTTATTTTTATTCGTGCGTTATGGAATAAATCTGTTAATTGTTGCTGTTATTCGTGCATTAAAAATTAAATTTTATTCGTGCATTACAGAGTAAATTTCTGCATTGTTGCTGTTATTCTTGCATTAAAGAGTAAGTCTGTGCATTGTTGCTGTTATTCGTGCATTACGGAGTAACGTGCATTACGGAGTAAATCTGTGCATTGTTGCTGTTATTCGTGCATTACGGAGTAAGTCTGTGCATTGTTGCTGTTATTCGTGCATTACGGAGTGAATCTGTGCATTGTTGCTGTTATTCGTGCATTAAGGAGTAAATCTGTGCATTATTTTTAATCGTACATCAAGCAGTACGGGCTTATAGGAGTTAATTATAGAAAAAGAATAGACAAAATTGCGTAACTAAGGATTGCCTGTAAAATAAACAGATGAGGAATTATGTTACGTTTGTGTTACAAAGAGATGAATGCGCTATTTGCGGAAACTGAATTTGCGGTTTATAATTACTTATCAGGTTCTTTTTATATTTAATGTCATTTAAATAAAATGCGTATAAACCAATGGGGCATCATTTAATGAAAATTTATTGAAAAAATGTCAGCTCAGAAATATTGGTAGCGAAGATATTGCATCGACGTCGACGATTGATTATGTAAACTTCTCATACATTTTACATACTTAATTGACTTTATAGAATCGTATGACTCGAATGCTGTAAGACCTGGCCTTCGGTGTAACTCATTCCTTGCCGTTTAAATCAACTGAGACCATTATCCTCATAATCTCCTGACCATCATCCCCATAAGCTCCAGTCTTTCACCAATATAGCGATCGAATACATATTCTGCAAGTCCTGTGCACCGAGAAGATCTACAACGCCAGCCTTTTTAAGAGAACTTGTCAGATCCCCATTAGCCATGATAAAAATAAGTGCACTCTCAGAAAAAGGAATGAGTCATAGTTTCCAAATTGTAACACGCTTTAAGCTTGTAGCACAGATACGCCTTTTTGCCGGGCTAAACTGGGCCCCGATGGCTTACGTAAGTGCAAAAAGTGTATTGCTGATGACCCCTAATCTCACATCCTGATGTTGATGACCATCTCAATTCTCTGTGTGCGAGTGGGATTAAATAGGACACACGCTACAAAGACCAACGGACAATATCGACAGTTACGTCCTGACCAGGGCGTAATAAACTCTTTCAATTATTTATTCTTGCATATACTCAGTAATTTTGGCTGGGAACTGAAGAGAATCAATAGCTTATACCGTGTGGTATAAGGTATCCGAAGGGGAAGGGGAAAGCCGTAAGACCGGAGCAGACATGTGCTAAAGATCTGTCGAGAGCGAGGCGAAGGCTGCTGGATTAAAGTGGGTCAAGCTGGGGAATTACACGAAACAGAGTTGGTTAGCGTGGTTTGCTTGCAGCCCTATGATTCCTTGGGAGTCTACGGGAATAAGCCCGAATTCCTAATATATTTAACCTCGTGTTAACAGGTAACATGAAAAATTATCCCAGGAGCGTGTGTTTGAACATGAGTGCATTAAAGTTGGCGATAGAGGCATTGGATCAGGTTGTAATGAAAGGCAAATGCAATAATACTAGACCGACAAAGTAAATTCACGGTCGATTCTTTCGCTTGCTTTGGACGGATCAAGAATGTTGATCAAAACAGGAGACCGACGCTATTTGAAGTGATGGTCCGAGTCTCCAATGAGGATACATTTGAATGTCTGGGGCCGAGGACATTTGGATAAGCTAGCGACGGATGCTGTGATTTGGAGGAACGCGAGCCTTTTCAACACATAAACATGTGGATATGGAAAAGAGTTACAGTGAAAAACTACTTTAGAGTTTCTCTTATTCAACTATTTTATTTAAAAGAATACTTATTTTTCAAAAAGCCAAAACGGGAACAACGGAAGCGGACTCGTATAAAAAATATAACTCAGTACTCACTACAGTGAGTGACAGAGAGCGCATTTTCTCGTCGACGAAAACTTGAGGTCACGGACAGACGGACGGACAGACAGACGGACGGACGGACATGGCGAGCACAATAGTGCATTTTTTCCATAAATGAGAAAATGCGCTAAAAAGAGTTGATGTTATATAGTTATCGTTGGACCCTCTATCTATTTGGACCCTCTATCTCTATCATCGTTGGACCCTCTATCACTATAAAAGAAGGCTGATTGAGAAGGTGGCATGATTTTGTGAATAGGGAACAACATAAATGAACTCCTTATTGATGACATTTACAATCATCTGTTGGGATGAATGAAGGGTGAGGTCGAACTCGACAGACTGATTCGGGCGATGTTGCAGAACTTATTGACAACAGATTGAAAAAAGCTCAAATTGAAGAAGTGCGAGCGTCTGCCGAACTCAGTCAAGTTGGCCCTCTAGGTGTCGAACTGCGTCAGAGAGTTGGCTTTCTACGATTTTAAAAATTATTCCCGCATGTTATCGAGAAGTCTCACGTTCTGTAATTCAAGCGGTCGACGTGAGCCCGAAAATCGTGTTCGATGTAGAGGAAAAGCCTCTGCGGTATTCGTAAAACGGAATTTTATGATGTCGATCTATACTACCTTGCTCTATATAACGAGGCAAATACCTTTGGATCAGGATCCAACTAGGTCAGTCAGTTTAGTTACACAAACGAAGGTGATAGCTTTCTGAGATGAAAGGGTGTTGATGGTGATTGAGAGAGAGCCTTATGGCGATATGGACAAAATTGTCTGACAAGTGAGAGACTCGGCTATACCAAACAGTATGTGGGCATTAATTAGCAAGTGTTCAGGCCTGATAGGGACACTGGGTTAAGAGTACATATTGAGTTCACGGAAAGGAATGTGACACTCCGCGCTATGGCTCAGTGGTTGTCGGCAACAATGTCGGGGTAGGAGTATCAAGATTCCTGGAAGTCATGAAAGTCCCTTACAAAGAACATTGGTCCGAGGAAGAGATGATGTTCGTCAGTCCAAATCCGAAAGATAAGCAAAGATGCCGAAATGTGACTGAGGAATGTAATAGTATCGTTATAATGAGAAGAAACGATAGGTTGACAATATCTCCTTTGACAATATTACATTTTGGGCCGCTAATGTCGGTAGAGCCGGTAACTATTTATTCTTTAGCAGCAATCAACACCGAGTTCATCTTAATAGAGTATATAGGAAGCACAATGTAGACACGCATGGAGCTAAAATGAATTGAGGTGAGACGCAAGCGCCGAAGCCAGTTGTTGAGAGGCAAATTTATTATTCCAGAGAAAAAATAGTTGAGTGTATCACCCTGAGAATGTTTATCCTAGTGAAGTCTCATTAACCCATACAATGAAATGAGTTTACTCTCCCGGAGATCAGAAACCAAGCGAGAGTTGGGGATCGATTGATGCGGTGGATCGCGGTCCCTTGAGAGGAAAACAAAAATAGTGTGAGGTGGCATTTGAAGAAAGCATATACATAGCAGGTTTTTGTAGAATTTTTTTTTATTTCCGGTACCTCAGCAACTGTTATCATTTTATGCCTGTGTGCTGCATATTTAGGGTTTTTTTTTATTGTATAATTCTGTACCACACATTCGTTTTAAAATTTTGCAGAACGCTTGTCACCTTCTTCAGACTGCATGCCATTAGGCTGATGTCCATAGATGATACTACATAGGCATCATCAACGTCCGTCGACTATCTGATTTAGATATATCGATATACCTCGACTGACCCACAGCTTTTTTTAAAAGAAAATCTTTATTTTTCGAATTATGATCCCAATGTATGCAAAATATTTTGCTAAATAATTTCTTTGTTAGAAATGAGATATATTCTAAATTTTATTAAAGGTTTTTTAACAACTTATTCTTATCAGTTTCTTCCGGAAGAACGGACCTCTTTGATTGTATTAGTCGCCGCTATCTTTTCCGGATAATATGCTGTGGGACGTGGGTGTGGTATAAAAAGATGCATTTATGTTACTTTCAACGATGTTTCGGGGGTGAAGGCCCACCTGGCCCGTTTCAACATGGCTAATTCTAGCATCTGCCCCGAGTGCAACACAGAAGACACAATCAGACATTTCATCTTGAGCTGTGCACTTTACACTGACCAGAGGAGGGAGTTTCGCTCAAGTTTGGAAGCTTTATCATTACCTTG